GCTAGTAATGGCGACGTTATGCCTCAATTCATCTTACCACAGGGCCTCAGATTCTACACGGAGGAATGTAGGAACTCATCTCAAAATGCAGATACGAACACAATTTTTTATAAAACCACTATAAATCGAAAACTGAAAAGGAAAAGAATAAAAGAAAATAAAGAAAATAAAATATAAATAAATACAAAAAAAAACAAGTAAAATATATTAATCCAAACAAATACATCAGTAAACAAATAAATAATAAACAAATTCAGTCACATACGCTTACAAAATGGCACACTTGCAACACATTCCACGGTTTGTTTATTTACATACGCACAAAAATATATACAGTCCTGTCTTTGATTGTTTAAAAGCGTAGAAGAATGTCAGAACAGAAATATATATATATATATATATATATATATATATATATATATATATATATATATATATATATATATATATATATATATATATATATATATATATATATACACACACACACACACACACACATATATATATATATATATATATATATATATATATATATATATATATTAAACTTCTGTTCACTTTATATTTCTTTTCTCTTCATTCACCTCGATGCCTATTCCTATATTTAAGTTAACGCGCAATCGAATATCCAAGTAGCAATCGATAATATATCTATATATTTTATTTCAAGAGTGTTACCAATTGCTATAATTTGGAAAAATCCCCTCAAGGTTTCGTTGGTTTTTTTTTTATTCTTATTCAAGTTGTAATATTAAGAAAAATGTTCTAGCATAATTATATTTTAATGGATGGAACATTCGTTACGAAAACAACATATTTATTGAAAAAAAAATATTTGCTATTTGAGTTTTGTCAGAAAAACATCCATGAGATTTTGTGTAGAAAATGCCAAAAAAAGAATTATTATAAAATGTCATAGTAGACATAGACGTTTATTAATATTGATGTGTGGCAAACAGAAAAAGAAACATGAGATGAAAGCCATGATTTGTAAAGAGAAATCTACAATAGTAAGAAAACTAAAAAAGATTAAATCAGATTGGCCATTCTTTTTTAAAATAACGTTCATAGACTTAGGAAGATAAGTATGAAATAATACTAAATCAAAGTAAATTATAACAAAAACTAAGCAAATCAACATAATTGTTCAAATAAAAATGAAATATATGAAATAACCAGTGTGAAGAAAACCGGTTGTAATGCGATAATCGATAAGACAGAATGGCGAAAAAGGTAAATATAAAATATTTTCAAGAAAGAATTGAATAAATTAGTATAAAAGAAAACGTCTGAATACATAAGGAGAGAAAATATAAAGACAAAATAAAGTCTGTGAAAATAGCACCTTTAAAATTAAAAAGGTTGAATTTTGTAAGAAATATATAAAAAAGATAACTGAAAGATAGTAAAAATAATATAAAGAATGCAAAGTAAAAATTACTTTAAATGTCATCTGTTAAGCCGAATATATTCTGCAAAAATAAGTTGTAAAACAACCGACGGAGAACAAACAGTCTTCTCTGATTAAATTATTGCTAATACTTCTGTCTTATTTATTGAAATAATCTAAGATGGCGCACATAAGAGCAACCGGCAGAAGGCCGCGATGATAACCAAAGATTTCATGAAATATTCTTCGTACCCATTATATATCTAGAAATAAAACTGAAGATTCTCTTTTAAAGTACGGAAAACATGGAATAGAGCACCTAAATGACTTGGAGTTAACTGATAAAAACGCTGATAAATAAACTTGACGGAAAACGTGAAAAAAATCTGATAGAAGAAAAGAGGAAACTACATTGAGAGAAGAATATGAAAAGATAGTTTGACTGAGTTAAGTGAAATAGGGAAACGTGAAATAGGGAAACATGAAAAGGTAAACTGATAGATATCTAAAGAAATACAATCAAGGATGTACAGTGATAGAGAGAAAAATTTCGCAACACATTTTACGAAATACCGGAAAAAAAGAAAAAAGAAAGATAAATCAGATGCGAAGTTCGAGAAGACAGTAAACAGAATTGATTGCATTTGAAGTAATAAAAGATAATAAAAAAAATACTAACTTAGCACAGGAAAAGAAATAAACGAAAACTATTAAATTAAAAGAGATAAAAGTTTTGAAAAAACCAATCCGTTCTGTGAAGTGTAAAAGCAAGAAATCAAATAAAACCTTTTTTTGTTTATCAAAAATAGATGAATAGGTTTCATACTTAGATATTTTTTTAGAAAATAATGTCGATATTATTGAATAAATATTTAAAAAAAAAACAGACTTGAAGAAATAGCACGACAAACTGGTCGCTCTTAGGTTGGATAGCCTCTAATCTATAAGAAAAAAAAAAACTCTGAATTTAAACAATGTCTCTACTGTAAGCGTTATGTGTAAGGGTATATATTATCCATAGAATTTGACATTATTCTAGAACGTTTAAAGTCCGTGATAAAAAAATATGAGAAGAGCGATCTGAAGATTTCGTAGCACTCTGTACACCATTTCTGACATATATATTCTTCAGCAAGAAACACTGGTTCTACACAAGCCTTCACCATTATATTCAAATAATCTGAGTTGTTAATCAAGTGGCACATTCCTAAATTGATCTGTGCACCTATTTCGATTATAATTAAATTATAAGGTATTAAACATTCGATCTTATGCCGAACACACTCATCTTCATTATAAGCCATTGCACATAAGTAACTACATCTCAACAATTATAGGCTATTTTCTTCCAACCAAACCAAACTCTATGATTTTGTTTTTAATTTCTAGTGGAAAGTTATACAATCTCAACTGTTATAAGGTATTACTCTTTAACAGGCTGTAAGAGAAAACCATTCTCAAAATCTTCTCTTCTTGAAAAAGATTATTCTAAATTCCAACTGAGACAAGAAATCAGAATGCGTTTTGTCATAGAGATATATTTTTTAATCATTTCCTCGCAAGCAAGGCAATAAAGCCACTAAGGTGCAATTTGTTACTTAGTGTAAAAGAATATGAGAAACAAAAACATTATTAGATTGACCAATAAAAGAACATGATATAAGAAAACAATATAGTGATTGATATTGTATTTCATGTTTTGAAGACCAAAAGTATTTGGAAAAAAAGTAGCCGGAATAAAGTTCCACAAGTGAGAATAACGATAGAAGAAACTGTTAGCATAAAATTTACAGTTACATCTAGACCTTTCATCTGTACAATGATGTCATTTTGGCTCCAATCTTGTCATGCGCTTAAATTCAAAAGTCGCGGTACCAAAGAGAAAAGCTCATCAAAACAATTACCATTTATAGAAATACAGACGGAAACTTCTTTACGGCGGTGTTAAAGTGATGGAAATCGTGATGCCAGGAACAACCGATAATCCTGCAGATTCTTTGTATTTTATCAAGAATTCTTAAATACGTAGCAGAAGTACCAGACTAGACGTGACAATAGTATTCAATGAGGGAATGGTAGATTTATACATGTTTAATATAGATTCTGACGAGAAGATGTCCAGCACGACAAAATAAAGCATATTTCTTAGCAGCAGACCTAGCAATTGATTTAATATAACCTTTTTTTTTCCGCAGGAATTGTCAACCAGAGAAGGCGCAAGAGTCACTCACCAGAGGATCAATATCAACCATGCTATTGGAAGGCAAAAAAGCACATTTGTAATTTTTTTTTTAAAAAAAAAAAGTCGTGGCATGCATCGATTATTTTCTTTTGAAAATATGTCTTATTTAGAAAGTTTACTTTATTACGCATATTCAATATGTCATTAAAAATAATTATATTATGAACATTTAATAAATTTTGATTGTATGATTGCATTGTATTTATATTTTAACGCAAGATTTCGAATTTGCAATAAATATTTTCATAATTTTAAAGTATTAACAAACAAAAAGATATACTTAGATAGAAAGAAAAAAGAGCTCAACTGTTGTATCATATATATCAATCCCTATATATGGCAGTCAATGCTGGACAATTTCTTTAAATGTGAAAAGTATACTTTGGCGAAAAAATACCTGGTTACATCGAAGAATACTGAATATCTTAGCAATGAGAACATTTTAAGAAAAAACAGGAACAAAATCCACTTTTTATTTTGAATCAGATAGAGACAGCTGAAAATTCTAGAAGGCATAATGTGAAGAAAGTCCATTGAGAAGTTAACACTCGTAGGAAATATTGAAGGCAAAAATGACAGACGAAGACGGCGTGTATGCTACCTAAAAAGTTTTTTTTTAGATCTGAATAGCAGAGCGGGAAATGTAAGGAGAGTAAGAAATTAGCTACAAAGGTTATGAAATTTTGGAGAGCTATGATTGCTCTCCTTCTAAAAAGATATGGCATATAAAAAAATCGCCTCATTTTGTGTATAATAAGGAAAATTGTTCATTTAAGAAACTCACAAAAAAGTATCACAGCGGTAGAAAACGACATTTTAAACGAACAAAGACGTTGAGAAAAGCTCTTTAAATACCCTAACGTTGTAACGAGAACAAGTACGACAAGTACATATCGCTCAACAAAGGAATTTCTAATAATAATAATAATATTAAAGATGATTCCTTATTTTTTAAAATTCAGTAGAAAATGTTCGTTTCTTTTTCCGCTTCAGTCAACGCCCGAAATACTATTCGGAAGATTATGTTTTACTCGTTTTTACTTATTTCACGTTTTTGCAGTTGAAATTGAACTAGGGCCGGAACTTAAAGTGATAACTAAATTGAGTGATTGATTGATATTTTAACATTTTGCTGGTTATTTAAAGCCAGAAAATATGTTTAGATTGAAAGAATCCATATTCATATGATAATGGTTGTTGATACAATTCTTACTAATTGATCCATAGCTGGTGGAGAGAATATGTGGATTCATACCTTTTCCAAGGGTATTTGCGCATAAGTGAATATAACGAAATAGAATTGGATCTCGGCTCTCCGATTAAAAATTACCAACCCTTATTCATTACACCACCGGCACATCCAAGCTTACATCACCTGGTATTCCCAATCGGTCACCCATCTAGATACTAACCAAACTCGATATTGCTTAACTTCGGCGGTCGTACGGGAACCGGTAGTTTCAACGTGACGTGGCCGTAAGCCGGGATGACTACATTTATCAAAATAAAATGTTAGTAAAATTGATTATTTTTTTGTATCAAATTATGGATTTTAATAATCCTTTTAATTTTTATCTCTTTTAAGTTTATTTTTGCAAATATACTAACTGCAGGAGTTATGGCAGGAATAAAGAATTGAAAAGCATTTTAGTGTAATTAATATGAAAGAAACCAGAACGGAAATTCTTCTTGTTTAGAGATTATTGATAAAATCCAAAGGAAAATCTACAGTGTTATTGGTCCTAACCTGGTACTCCAGCATCGGTTACTTTCCCACTACTGTAATGTAGCGTCCAACTGACTGTTCTCTAAATATATTCACCGTAATTGTTCGGAAGAAGTTTCCTCTATGGTACCTAGCCTTTATGAATTTAAGCGCATTATTAGATTGGTAACAAGGTATCAACGTTTTACATTTGAACTTGCTAGATGTAATCGTAAGTTCTTTGATAACATTTTATTTTCTCGCACTGCTCACTTGTGGAACTCTCTTTATTGTTTCTTGTTTTACAGACAGCTTTGATCTAAAATTTAAATGCTATGTCAATCGCTATTTTGACGGGACTTGACTCCTCTTCTTTTATTGCTCTTTTTACTTAATAATGATTTTCTTTTGATTATTCTAGAACATTCACTAATCCCTTTTATCTCAGTGGCTTAATATTGCCACGATTGGGGTGACAGGTTAATCATCGCAGGCAGTCTATTCTACTTTGCTGCCTTCATAAAGAAATGGACAGGTAAGTAAATACCTGTACTGTCATATTTAAAATAAACTCTCTGATAGGGTATATCTCTACCTTAGTATAAAATTATTTTAATGTCTTTCCAGCTCCTAAAATGTATCAATATAATCCATATTCTTATTTCTAATGATGGCAACTGCTGTGTCTAAGTAATGTTTGTCAACCACATAAATCTTTTTTTGATGTTGTATGTGTTCACATTCATCCAAAGCAGAAGTTTTATACATCATTCTTATAAGCGTAAAAGCAGCGAGGATAATATCGTGCACTCTTGTGATGTTCTACATTTATTATTAAAGAGTTGTTGCCACGCTTTGACATTGCAGTTTTAAAGCCAAATATTCGTAGTGAATGAAGCAGGATAAACTTGTGGCCTGTTAAGGCCGACAGACTTTGAACAAATGTCTTCAGTTTGTTGCTGACCGCATATTCGTCCTTCTAATTTTGTTGTATCAGATTATGCACGGGAAACTTATTAGCGATGAAAATTTCTTTACATAATTCTTCTATTTGACATGAACAATCGCAACAATCGTTCCGCTATCCACGTTAGTCGGTCAGCCTGTTGCTTCCCCTGTTACTTTTGCCTAAAATATGTTCTGAATGTGTCAAATTTTCCACGCACTCGTTCCTCTTTATGCGTCCCAGAATTCATAGCTGCTTCTTCTTGATTATGAGTATAGATGTCTTTTTTTTTTCATAAGCTTTTAGGCTTCCTTGTTTCTTACATGTTCTATCCATTGTATTCTTCTCGTCCTCCTGCAGAATCACATTTGTTGCAGCAAAGTTAGAAAACTCTCCAGCATTCACTAACATCTAGGATGACTTACATGGCGTAGCTCTTCAACACGATATGCCTTTGTTTCTAAGCAAACCTTTTCTGCTTCATATTACTTTGCTTCGTTTTTAAAAGGCATCGTGGCTATTCCAAAGAGCGTTCGGATTTCGGCGTCACATCTTCCATCGTCAGACAAAATATTTCCTTCTTATGTTAACCACTGTATTTGTTTGAATTGCTAGCTCCAATTCGTATTTACATCTTAGCCTTTTCTCTTGCTGAGAGCCATACACTCTACCGTCTTACAGCTGATATCTAGTCCTTCAATCTCGCTTTCCTTTACAAGGAAATCCATTTTATTCTGACATTAGGACAGAATTACTCCGTATCGTATATGCTTAAGATATCGTATATGCTCAAGATATCGTATATGCTTAAATCCTGGTATCTTCTTCAGATCCTCTAGTATATCCTTGCTGGAGAGGCTGAATAAATCCGTTGATAAAAGACATTGTCATCCGCGTAACATTCTGTTTTTTGAGTTCGAACCGAATGTAATGAAAACAAGGAAAAAATTATTGCTATAATCAAGTCTAAAAAGAAATCGAGAAGTATTTTGATAAAGTTCATAATTGAATGGATATAAGATCATTAAAGACTTTTTTTGTACTATGCTTCTTCTATGAGCTGTGTCACTTCAGCACGATGACGATCATGGCTCTCCTTTCTTTAGGTTTTGGAAGAGATGTTCTGCTATTCTAATACGCCATCGAATTTCGGTGTCAGATTTTCCGTCATCTATTCAAACATTTCCCTGATATTTCAATTTCTGTATTTCCTTGATTTCAGGATTTAGACTTTGTATTCCGCATTTTAGGCTGTTCCTTTTACTGACAACTCTACTTTACAAATTGATGGATTGTCCTTTTTTCTGCATTCCCTTTACTACGTTGTATCATAGTTCCTGTTGTGATATGTCTGCATCTTCTGTCAACCATGTCATCTACATAAATTATGTTATTGAGTTTGTACCCACCAATAACAAATCTTGGCAAGACATTAGTTTTCTTAATATTTGCTTGATATAAATCTGGTGAGAAGATGCATGCTTGTCTTATGCTATATTCTATTTTTGTATATTACTTACGTCATTTACAATGAACAGGGAATTCATTAACATTATACATTCTGTGTTATTCTAATACTCTTCTTAAATATATCAAGATTTCCCAGTAGTTCAGATAGGTCTTTGTGTCCCAACATACCAAATTCTTTTGCATATTCTATGAAACCTAGATCTGCATTCTTCTGTGTGTGTATTGCTTCTGTTGATATCATTTGGATCATAAATATTGCATTATTCGTTCCACTGTCTTTAGCGAAAGGATAATGTTCTCGCCCTAATTCCGGTTTAATTCTGTAACGTGCTCTATTCATCAAAGGTCGGATAATAAGCTCATTAATCTATGTGACTCGTTAAGCTGATAATCCGATATTTATTTGCACCTGCCACTTAGGCATCGCTACAAATCTCTTTCAGCATGTTGTATGAAAAAATGTAGAAAAAAAATTAATGTATTTTTTTATCAAACAATTTATTGTAATAGAAAAAGACTTCCATTTTTATTTCCCTTTCCGTCAACCCTTCACTCCTTAGTCAATTAGCTTTGTAAGCAGGCTGTCAATGTTCAGGTTTCAGTAGATTATTTTATTACCTTCATGCCATCCCTCTAACTACTGAAAGCCGAAACTAACTCAGAGTGAAAAGAAACATTAAGAATTACTAGTATTATATATTTCATTTATTATTTCTTCAATATTGTTGATAAAAAATAACGTTAATATCATTTCTATTACCATTTAATTTGGTGCTGCTGCTTTGTAATTATTCATATTGATCAGTGTCGATTTTGCATTAGGCCCTTCCATACTTTTGTTTAAATTTCCTACTTTCGTTTTGAGAGTTCTTTACATATATTTTTTTTAATCAGCTACAGTTTCACCGAGAATATGTCACAATTGATTTTGGTGAATATTTTGTGGGGAGTACTTAATTCGGGCAAGTGTAAGAATTCGATGAATATTTTTCCTACGTTTGTTGTTACTTTTTAGTTGTACAGTGGGTTGAATCATATTATATGTCTCTTCCTGTTGCCTTTTTTCCTCTGTGGTGTGCATGTGAGTGTTGCCGGGAATTCGCAGTTTTTTAGGGCTTTTTCGTAGTCTTTCTTAGCTTCGTTAAATATGGTTTCATTGGAAGAATTGTCAGAAAGCCTGCAGTTTATTCATTTTAGTATATGTTTGATTATAGATGGCGGGTGATTGGAAGTTGTGTGTAGATACATTGATTTATCACTGAGTAAGGTATGGTTTATATGTAACTTTTCTTAGGTTGAAGATAACATCTAGAGTCTACGTTGTTTAAGTTAGTTTTTAACTCTATGTCGAATCCCATATTTTTGAAAATCTTAATTATTGCCTTTCTAGTTTTGTCTGTGTTGTGTTTGTTATAGTTTCTTAAGATTATGAGACCGTCGACCTTGTAGAGACCTGTATCATTTTTATCTATTTTACTTAGTTCGTGTAGTAAATATATAACTATGAGTTCGCAGGTCTCTGCACCGTCAAAGCTTCCCATTGTAGTTTCAATGACAAGTTAAAATTATTAAATGGCGATACTTTACCCATCGTGCCCTCTATGTTTTATGCGTATTCCCAACATTTTTCTTATTATGACACAGCAAATATTTTACATCCAATCGTTTTATATCATTGAATTTAAATTTCATGGTATATCTTTATTGTTAAAACCTATCTCAGATAGTCTCATTTCTAAACATCTTACTGATATCCACCCATTATTCTTATAATAATTTTCAGGTCTTGGCAGATGAACATATGTTTTCTTTAATTCTATTTCTCTCTAATACCTGCCTTGTGATTTTTTCTGTTCACATAATTTAGTATTTCTAGTAAATTTTCTCACGATTCTGATATTAGTACACTCTCTAAACAAATCGTACATACTTCAATTACTCATCACTTGATTTTTACCTCTGTTCCCTTCCAGGCCATTTGATAAAAGATATTGTCTAGGTAATAAGTAAAAGTAATTGTTTTACTTACCTCAATGAAGTAAGTAAGCATATTTGACTTATCTCAATTTTTTAAGTTCGATAGAAATTCCTCTCTTCTTTGAAGAAGGAGAAGAAATAAATTCTTCTCTGCTCTTAATGAATATATTTAACCAAATTTATATTTGCCCATTCTTATTGATAACATCGTTTCATTTAAACCCAGGTGTAATTTTTTTTGTGTTTTATAAAAAAAAAGATTTAGTAAAGGTTTAATCTATTGTCTATTTACCTCAAAATATGTTACAATGATCTGTAACTGTATTAGTCAAATGGAACAAAGTCAAGAGATAGAAGATGAAGCAGAAGCTCCATATTTCCT